GTTTTACAAGTTCCGATATTCGACAATACTTCCGATAGGCTCTCTATCGTCGGGTCGGACAAATAAGTCGCAAAAAGAAAGAAATTAAGTAGAGAGCCTATCGGAAGTATTGTCGAATATCGGAACTTGTAAAACGTTGAAGTCGTTATACGAAAATCACTTATATCAACTTTTGTTAAATTAAATGTTAAAGTATTGAATTTCAAAGCAGTGTCGATTCTTTATTAACATAAACTGTCGTTGCTGACAAAACATTAACTTGTGCCGGTATTATTCCTTAATTGTAATAAATAAGGTCAGAGATAGGACGCGACCGTCCTATCATTCGAAAAAGTCGTTGCCGAACATTGATTTTTATCATCGTTTATTTGAATATTACAGACTGTCGGTAAATTTCTTACAACTCGTTATCTTTTATTTTTGCAAAAAGTAAAAGTTTAATGTGCGTAATAATTATTTTTTAAATAATAATTTTAGACGCTGCTATAACTTAAATGTTTTTTTGCATGTTACAGATCAACTTGTGAACAACTCCGCTGCTGCGCATCGTACTGGTGAGTCTATTTAATTTGTTTTATTTTAATAACCTTTGGAAATTATGGAATATATTTATTTTTTCACATTTTTCTATCTGAGATATTTCTCAAAAGATATGCAAGATCTTCAAGAGCGATTGTGTTACGTGTATGATTAAATTTTTTTAAATACAAGTAAAATATTTGGAATCCAGAAGTAGAAAAGATATCTAATAGTAAAGAATGTTTTATGTTCGTTTTTACTTGATAAATGCAGCAGTAATTATTCGATGACATTCTTATAAGCCTTTTTTTACTTTAACGATTAATTATCTACAAAAGTCTCGTTAATTTTCAATGCACTTTTTAAACTTAATTTTATTTTATATTTGTCTAATGTTATATGCTGATATATCATAAGAAAATATAAAATGACAAGAAATATAAATAATATATACATAAATTGCTCACGACTGTTCTCTTTGTCCGTTGTATCGACAAACGGCTTTGTTACCGTTACTGCCATTTATTATATTATCTCTTGCTTGAAACTGCCAGCAACAGATATTCGCGACACGTAATTCCGCGCTGACAATGAGAGAGAGAGAGAGAGAGAGAGTAAATAAGATGTATGAAAAACTAGTGTAGAAATATTGAATAGGTAATTAATCATTTATTCATGTATTCATCATTTATCTATGTATTATCATTTATCTACCTATTTATAACCTGTGGCAGTCATTCTCTTAATGACTGCCATAATCTTGCTATAATATAGCAACAAAATGTCTCACAACTTGCGAATTACAAATATCGAGATCTAAAGTAAAGCAGGAATTGATTATAAATGGTAAAAAATTGCGCAACTTTTCTTTCCTGTATTGATTTCCATGTGTACGGCGATTTTATAGAACGCAATTCTCGCGAATACGGCAGAGAGATAAAAATATTTGAATAAATCTCTATTTTATTTTTAATCTTACATTTTATATCGAACTAAATGATCGTTGAAATGTAAGCTTCAAAGTTTACACAGTAAAAAGAGATGCAATATATTGAAGGGAATCAATCTATTTTTCTGTTAAATTTGCCAATCTGATATTCGTGCATTGGATGCATTTGATTGATACTAATTTAGACGCGCTAAATTTTAATAGTAATTACTGAATTACATGAATAAAATAATATTTAATTAGAATACTAATTTATGATTAATCTGTGACGCTTTCGCAGATATTTTGATCGGCGATTAACGATTTAACTTATTATTTATAATTGTAAGCGATACATTTGCATTTATCCGGTTAAAAAATCTAAACATATATAAATATTATATTATATATAATACGAGATTTCGCGCGGTAAAATAGGCCGTTTGTATATCGGAGCGTCTTAAGATAAATCTCGTTGATCGCGTGAAATGTTCCTCTTTTCTGCTTCGGCGAATATGGTAAGCCCGGGTTAATCGACGTCGTCAACGACCATTAGTCGCGAGCATATAGCGATCTGGTCGGATTCCAAGAGAGTGTCGGAGGCGCCGGTTTTATTGTCTCCCGATGGCTTGGCCCACGCTTGAGCCACGCGGCGCTTAATCGGCGTGCCTTGGCCGCCGTCGCTGCTCAACCAGACTCGACAAACGGAGGTCCGCGACAGACCTTCTTTATTTTTGTTTCTTATTTGTCTTCCTCTTTTATCCCTTTCTTGCCGAGGTAGCAAGTGAATAAAGGCGGCGTGAGATAGTTCGTTGGAGAATTTCCAAGTATTAGCGCAAAATCAGAGTAGTGGTAGTATTATTTAATCCCTTAGCGTCTATTATCTTGCGATTTAATGGCATAATCTATCTATCGTTTTGAACGAATTACTCATTTGTGGCCTTCATTCGAATCTGCTGATATCATTAAATGTGATATATTTATGTGACAATCAACTAGGAAAAATAGATTCTAGATTTTTTGCGCCGTCTCTGATGTGATAATTGCGATGTAGGATCAAATAACAAATAACAAAATATATCTCCAGTTGCCTATGTGATATTGGTGGCAGACTCGCATTCCATGCGTAGATGAAGGTCAATAATTTCTGTTCCGAGGAGGCTAATTACGAATTATGCACGCCTGCGAAAGTATCGCGGAAGCTCGGTTATCGAACGGCTGGATCGGGCGTGGAGGAGCGAGCTGGCGGGATTCTAGAGCTCGGTAACTGGCAGGTACGAAAACGAAATTGACGTCGTTTAAAGATATAATGCAAACCCGTGCGAATCTGTCGCTATTATCGAATAAGCCTTGGTCGTTGCATGCGATCGGAAAATGCGCGTGGAGCTTCAATATCTTGCTTTTTTTAGATAAATTTCAGCAACTCGTCTGCCACCTGTAAGCGTCAGCGCGAAGTCGTCCGCATTTATGAAAGTATCATATTACATGTAGTTTTGTTTATGGGTGCATTTCGTAATTAACGAAATTATGTAGGTGTGCAGTTGGAAATTTGAAACCAATAAACATCGCTAACCAAATATTTCGACAATAATATCGATGTATCTAAATGTTAAACAATAATTCTCATTAATGAAGTATTATTGAAGATATTACATTCGTGGTATTTTTAAATAATTTTCATGATATGTCTTATTTATAATTTTTTAAAAAGCAACGTTTGGTTAAAATCAGGACTTCGAGAATTTTAAGAATATTATATTATTTCAAAAGAGTAGTTACTTTTTGAATACCAAGGCACCAATTCAAATCAAATCATATTAATTACTAATAATATTTTTTGAAACTTGTTAATATTATCTTGATTTTAAAAATCAATCACTTTTGATGGAGAGCAAAATTTAGTAGCCACATTACAGTTGTCAAGTTTTATTCAATAAAAGTATAAAAAAATAAACATTTTTGTCTTGAAAGAATACCAAAGTCAGTCGTGACAGCAGTATCGATTGTGCGAAGACCCCATTAGGCTCGAACTATTTCTTCACGTCGGCGAAGAAAACAATTCCGCCAACTATTTCACTATTTCCCATCTGACTCGGCCATGCAGAACGATCGCACGCGATATCGTCGGTCACTCTGCGCAACATGCGAGTGAAAAGCGCGAGGTAGGCACTAATCGTAGCCAAACGAGGGTCTCCGCAAGTTAAGCGGGCACCCACGCCCACGTGACATGCACGGGGGGGCACGTGTGCGTGGCCCGCGCCACATTTATAACCCATCTTTATCGGTCGTGGCGTGTCTTTAAGGGACTGCTAAAAGCTGCGGGCGGTTTCGCAAAGGAAAAAAAAAAAACGACACGCAACTCTCTCTCTGACCGAGAACGTCATCGACCACTACGCGCTCGGCGCACGATCGCATCCGTCATTTTTTCGAATGTGCGAGACTGAATATAAGCGCGCAGAAGAATTTGAATATTAATTCATTCAGCAATTGATTTATTACAAAATATATGATAATATGAAATAAAAATAAATAACAAAATATAAAATAAATGGAACAATGTTGAATGCAAGTTTACGTGTAATATAAAGTTCTCTTTTATCTTGTCTATACGCTTTCGTGATTTTTTACGGATAACAAAGATAAATTATAATAATCCTTGAGTAATTTTCCTGTTTTTTTGACTTTAAAGTAGCTCGCATTTGGAAAGTCCCATTATTCAGGGGATAAAAGATAAGAATTCTTATCATTTAAAAGCCAAAGTCACTCGGTTAAAAGTGTCTCACGAAAATATGAGATGCATCGTTTACATGTGATAAAAGAAAACGCAAGATTTACACGTTTACACAACAACGTTAACACAAATATAATTGTTTTGTAGAATAAAATCGCAGCTACTGAATGCGCTTCTATTTAATAAGGAGATAAATTTTCATAAATTTCCGCCGAGTTTCTCCGAAAAGCGCGTAAACTCGCTTCAATCTTGGCCGTTCCCCATTATGAGCGTTATCGTGCGCCGTGTGGTTCATGAATTTTAATCGGTGTTATATCTGAAAAGCGTGTTTCGACGGACTCGCTTTACCTCGCCTCATTTCATCTACGAGCGACTCGTTCGAACGCAGTACACTTTGCTATAAGATAGTGTATCCGCTTGAAAGTCAAAACCGGGTTTACCGTAAGATAAAGAGCTGTTGCATCATATATACGGTGTCTCCCGTATGCGAAGCATCTAATAGGACAAGCAATAATGAGTACGAATGTGTTGTCTCGTCGCTGTGATATTACAACATCGTGTTCTGTTCGAACGAACTATTTCGCAATTTTCTCTAAGAAATACCATCGGAAAATTTTATTTCTCTTATATTATGGCAATTGTGAAAATGCATTTATCAAATTTTCTATTAGCAAGTATAGGATTTTTAGTTACTCTTTTATTGCATCTATTTTATTTAATCGTAAAATTGCCACAGTGCAACTGAAGTAAATTTATTTTATATTCTATTTGCACTGTTTAAAATTGATGAAGATCTAATTAGTAATTATTTCAAGACATATGTTGAATATTTTGAAAATCCCTTGAAAATAAAAATAGACATATGTCCTAAAAGATACCTAATTATGAGATCTTTTTTGATTAACTTAAAGTCGAATAAAAATTTAATTTTTACATCTTTATAATTTTTAATATAAAATTTTTTAAATTTTTAATATAACATCTTAGAGAGAGACAGCGTTATTTATTTGTATTTATGGTATGGTAATTAATTTACGCAAGATTATTTTAATTCGCTTATAACTCGATAGGAAAGTTTTCTTTGAAACACGTTTATCGAAATAATTTTTTCATTTCTAAATCCTCATCGGAATTCCACGGTTTGTAGATGTAGTTTTTCAACATCCCGTCTGAAAGCCGTTCAATTTGTGGCCAATGCGATTTCGTGGCCGGTTTCTTCGAGGTCGCGAGTGCGCTTTAAGGCCGCAAGCATAAGTCGGCGCGTAGCCATCGGCTAGCGGCAGGTCAATAAGCCTCACTCTTAGCCAGATAAAACGCCCTTTTCTCTCGCTTTTACATACTCTGTTCCGTGTGAAACGGCGCAGTGCGACTTTAAC